ATCAATTGTTAAATTTGTTTCGGGCAAATGAACTTTCGACCTAGTTGAAATTTGTTAGTGAACGGGGAATTGACTTTTATGGTATATAAAAAAATTTCGCCGGCGATTTTGGCAGCGTAGCTTAACTGTTAGCAGCAGCAAACTAATTCCTTAACTTGACCTATATTTTATGGTGAAAAGGCAGTAAATTGAATTAACTCTCCAAAGGCGGCGGCCGTTTCTGGGCAAGTTATAGCAAATGATAAATTTGCCAAAATTTGAAACGAGAAAAATGAAATTTGAGGCAACTTGTTCTTAAGATATTGATAATTATCTTATACAATTTATAGGGTTTTCAACCTTACAAAAAAACTCAAAGCTCCAAACCGGGGAAAAACATTATGCTGTGTTTTTCTAGAGGGAAATGGAAGTTTCAATTGGAAAGGACAAGTAGAAAAAGGAAAAGGGGAAAGGAAGATAAAGAAATTCACCGAGCTTTTGTCAAAAGTTGGTGCATTTCTACAAACAAAAGTGTTTCCGGTAGTTCATTTGGTTAATTACCACCGGATACTAGACAAGTCTAAAAATATCTGTTAGGTATCTTTTATCTCAACTGGCTGACATTTAGCAGCTTGGAAAGGCGTTGGAAAAAACCTTTAATTAGGAAAAATCTAGTTACTCCAATTGATTTAGAAATAATTCAAGAAATGTATAAATCCTTAACACAAACTTATTACTAGCTTTTTTTTTCATTCTTTTATTAATTCTAATAAACTTATTTGTGACGTTTCAATTAAGTTCACACCTTATGGCGGCTTAATTGGTATGAAAAACTGTTCCTTGGAAAAGTACTCGAATTACTCCAAGTTTTTATGATTGCACGCTTTTTGCACGATGCAGCCGGATTTAAACAAGAACTTACCAGGAGTGTCCAACTTACTGTTATATGTTGGCCGGGAACTATAACCACAGCTATCTGCACCATTCGAAGTGAATAGTTTTCTGTCTTTTCAAAACTTGAAGAAAAAAAAAGTCTATCATAGAATTTTTACCTGCACAATGTTATACAGTTAACTTTGAACTCTGGCAGTCTTTAGCTCTGTCATATGCACACCACCAAATGTCTACAAACCATCGATCTCGAATAAACTTGTTTTTTCCGCTGCCAGAATAATAATTTGAATTTGAAAAAAAAAACTGAAATTTTGAAAACTTTTCAGCAGTCTCTTTTTAATTAATGGCTTTGAGAACGGTTTCACGGTTTGGATAGCATTTAATTGAGCCATTCAGTAATTCAAATAAAATTTGCTGACTTTCTGGTTTGCCTATTCATCATTTATCAAATGATCTAAATAATTATTTATTCTCTAGCATACTTATCCTTTACTTATTCTTTTTTTGTTCAACTACTTCCTCATTTAGCTTGCTTACTCTACCTAACTTTGAGGTTTTACTTTTATTTACTTCTGATTCAACTTCTTTTCACTTTGCCTTTTTTCCCTTTTACTTGATTACTGTCATGCTTTAATTTATTTAATTTTATTAACTTTACTTTACATTACTTTACTTAAATATACCTAATTTCATACTTACTTAAAACCTAAAAACTAAATTACCAACGCACTTTTTACCTACGTATTAACATAAATACATTTTGCATAGTTGCATATAAACATACACACATACTTGGATACATACAGACAGACAAAACACCAAGCATACATCACTTTACTTTGCCGAACATCACTTCTTTTACTTAATTCGCTTATTTCTTTTTACATGATTCAACTTTACTCATCACCTCCTAATCAAGTTTACTCTGATGTTTTCACTGCCTTTTGCGTTCTCTCTTTATTTTACTTTGTTTTGCCTTACTTCATCTTACTTTCTTTTACCTTACCAACTCACCTACTCACTTACTTACTTACTTACTCACTTACTTACCTACTTACTTACTTACTTACTAACTTACTTACCTACTTACTTACTTACTTACTGACCTACTTACTTACTTACTTTCTTACTTACTTACTTACTTACTTACTTACTTCTTTCTCATTTACTTACTAACTTACTTACTGAAATACTTTTTACTTACCTTATTACTTACTTACTTACTTTTTTTACTTGCTTTCTTAATTAATTACTTACTGACTTACCTACTTACAAATCTACTTACCCACCTCTTTTCTTATTAACTTTTACCTTCTTGCTTTTTCGCTTACCATCTTACTTTTTACTGACTGATTCACTTGCTTGCTTACTGACTTCCTTACTTACTCCCATACTTACTCACACTTTTCTAATATTTATTCATACAATTATGTCCATTTTACTTTTTTATGTTAGTTTCTTTCTTTTGTAATTTAGTTTTCTTTATTTTACTTTGTTTTATTTTAACTTTGCTTGACTTTACCAGCACATCATCTCAGTTTACTTAACTTTACCTTACTTTCCATTATTTTTGTTTACTCACTTACTTACTTATATACTTACTTACCTACTAACTTACTTTTTTACTTACTTATTTACTTACTTATTTACTTACTTACTTTTTACTTACTCACTTACATACTACTGACTTACTTGATTACTACTTTGTTTACTTATTCAGTTACTTATGTGCTTACTCACTTACTTACTTACTCACTTACTTACTTATTTACTTACTTTCTTTTTTTTACAAACTTACTTATTTACTTTCTGCCTAGTTACTTACTTACTTTCCAGTCTCACTTCACTTTACATAAACCTAATTAAATTTAGGCTATTTTACTGAACTTCTTTTCTTTACTTCGCTTCAGCTTACTACCTTTACTTAAGTGTTAGTCTTATACTTACCTAAAAATACTTTTATTTCTTCCTTTACGTTACTTTGCTTTGCTTTATTTTACTTAGTCTTAAGCTTACTTTACCTAATTTTCTTTAACTGTTTTTGCCTAAACTCACAACAAACTGACTCACTTTACTTTAACTTAATTTTATTTTTTTTATCTGCTCTTTATCTTACTTCACTTTGTTTCACTTTATTTTAGTTTAGTTTACTTAACTTACTTAACCTTACACATTTCATTAATTTTTTTTCAATTAAAGTCTTAGTTATTTTTTTTCCTAACGTCTGTGCTTGACTGGATGTACTTAAGTTTTGTTTCTTTGCCTTTTCACAATATTCACATACTCCTACTTACTTACCTAATTTTACTTTAAATTATTTCTCTTTGTTTTTTCTACCTAACTTAACTTAACTTCACTTAAATCTGTATACCTATACCTACTTAGTTAACTGCTCAGTCATTTACTGCCTTACCTAGATAATCATATAGATACTTTCTTGCAAACTTTCTGACGTACCTATAAAAAGATCTACACACATACATTTTCAAATTTCTAAAAACACAATCCCATTGATCGATTAGCTGGTGAAAGTGTTACTGTTCATAGCAGCAAAAAAAAACTCAATTCCCCTAAAGTACCTGAATCCGAAGAACCTAAGTAATGATAGGTACTTTAGAAAAAATTCTAGGCCGATTTTGTTTATAAATAGCCATATCTATGTGTAGTGACCCTTTATTTCAATAGAATAAAAGTTGAACCTTAGAATGGTTGGTTGGTTGGAAAGATGTACGGAGGGATAGCTAGATCTATCAACGGATAGAAGCCTGTTCGAATGGACGGTTTGATGAGTGGCTGGTTGGAAAAAACCTGATTGGATGAATGGATAGCTGAAAGTATGAACACTTGAAATGACGGTTATATGAATAGATGGCTGGCTAGATAGCCGGAAGGCACAATCGATCAGACTGATGGATCGCTGGTTGGTTAGATGGATAATGGCTTCATTTACCCATGGAAAACTGATGAATTAACTTTGGCTTGATGGATGAATGGTTTTATGATGGATGGATGGCCTTATGTTGGATGGATGGATGGCTTGATGAATGGATGGATGGCATGATGCATCGATTGTTTGATGGAGCGAGGGTTGGCTAGATAAATGAATGAATCGATGGTTGGATGGATGGCTGAAATTCTGGGCTGGTCGAAGACTGATAAAAAAAAGATCAAAAGGATGTTTGGACGGATAACTTGCCGGATAGACAATGGTCGGTTAGATGATGCAAAGCTAGATGGATGGATGGCAGGATCGATTAATGCTTGGCTGAAAAGCTTGATAAATGACTGAATGGATATTTGGCTTGGAGGATGGATGGTAGGATGGATGGTTGGCAGGGTTGAACCGTGCGTGGCTAAATGGCTAAATCGTTAGCTGGATGGATTGGCGAGTGGACTTATAGGTGTCTGAATGGATGGATAGCTTGGTGAACGAGAAAGTGACTGATGGCTGGACGTCTAATTTGGTGAACGGATAGCCGGGAGTAACAGGTTAGATGGATGGATGGCTGATTGCATGGATGGATGGTTGATTAGACAAAAACTTTTTGGTTGAGTGAATAGATGGGTGGCTGGCTGGTTACTCAGATGGATGGAAAGATTAATGCAATTTGGATGAATGACTGATTGGATAGATAGCTTTGTGAATGGATTGATGAAAAGATGTTTGGGTGGCTGAAAGGATGGACGGTGAGTACATCGATTGCTGATGTATGAATGGTTGGACGGATCAATGGATAAAAAATAGGCTCGTCAGGTGACGCGATGTTTGGTTGACTGGTTGTAAAGTTGCTTGATGGATAGATGACTGGTTGAATGGTTACTTGAAAGGTGACTGGATGTATATTTTTTGTACTACACTACTTTATGCTGCCCTTTTCTCTTTAGTCATTAGTGTATACGATATAGCTAAACATGGAAACATACCCTAAGGACATTTTGACTTTAAAAAGATGGCAAATAATTGTCACAGGCATTTAAATGAAGCAACAAAATTACTCATTATCTAGCAAGCAAAAAACAATAAGCACATAAAACTTTCAAACAAGCCAACCAAGAACGCAAAATAAAGAGGATAAATGAAATGAATTCTTTCAATTTTTTGTTTTCAATGAAATCAGAGACAGACGATGGGCTGTCTAGTTGCTCGAAACAAGCCAGTCTTACCTGAGACAGAGCAACTAAAGGGTAAAGTATCAGATAAGGAGCTGGACTCGCTCAGAGCGGTATTGAATTGGAAAGCAGACGATTTTTCGAAGCACAAGGCTGATATAGGTTGCTGCAATTTTGTAGAACATGAGACTGAAATAGAAGAGGGCTCGGTATCTCATAGGGAGGGAGCTAAGAGAATGACCACACACAACTCAAAAGCCTGCAGAAAAGAAATCGAAATGTTAATGGAATATGACATGATCGAGCCGTCGAAGTCTCCGTGGGCTTGTGGCGTAGTCATGGGTAAGAAAAAAAAGGGGGCAACTTAGATTCTGTTGTGATTTTCGTTGAACGCAGTAACGATAAAGGAGGCATACCCGATTCCACGTATCGATGAGAGGCTCTCCAAATTGGATTTGGGATCTGCGTTCTGAAAAGTGATGCCGTTTGGACTATGCAACGCGACAGCTACACTCCAGCGATTAATGGCCCAGGCACTCACGAATGTGACAAATGTGACTAGGAAATATGGGAACCTCATTATGTGTTACGTTGACGATGTGGTGATCGCAACACCAACCCTAGATGCACCACAAAGAGAGATTAGACGAAGTCTTTACTTGCATGAAATAGACAACCCTGAAATGTAAACCCTTCAAGTGCGAAACCCTCAGAGACTCAATCAAGTTTTTGGGTTGTCTTGTTAACAAACAAGGGGTCAAACCAGATCAAGAAGCGGTTGACGCGGTACTGACCTGGAAGGCACCGAAGACTGACATGCAATTGATGAGCTTTCAAGGATTCGCTAATTACTACCGAGAGTCTATCAAAAAGTATGCTGACAAGATATACCCTATGCAACAATTGATGAGAAACAAGGGTAAGAAGTTCAACTGGACTGACGACGCTCAAGTCTCCTTTGAGAACATCAAGCGCAAACTTTCCGAGGCTCCGGTCCTCGGCATGCCGACAGAAAAGGAGATGTTTGTATTAGATACACACGCATCAGTAGTTGCGATATCGGGCATACTTTACTGGGAACAAAAGTGAAATGAGAGGACTGTTCTCAGACCAAAAGCTTACGGAAGTAAAGTCCTGAGCGACAATGAAATGAAGTACGGTGCACCAAAAGCGGAAAGGTTCGCGGTAATCACTTTCGTTGAGAAATACAGAGCCTACTTAGGGAGTCCTCCCTTTAATTTGCGTGTAGACAATCGTGCTCTTGTCTGGCTAAAGACTTATTCGATGAACGAAAGCTATATTGGTCGCTGTATTGTGCGGCTGGACGGCTATCACATGATCATAGAGCATCGAACCCGTGACAAGCACCAGAATGCCGACAGCCTCAGCAAAAAGACAGAATTTTATGAGCAATTAGAAGAGAAGCAAGCTAACCAGGCAGAAATTAAAGATGGTTATGGATATAAAAATGCATCAGGACCCAGACAGGGACATATATACCTCCGACAAGGAGGGCACCGTAGTCGATAATGCCGCAGATGTACTCGAGTTGATAGCAGCGTCGAAGCGTCCGAATAGGTTACTTCCGCATGCTACGGTTGTCCGTACCAACCTGGAACCATCAGTGCAAGAGGCAACAACTTTAAAGAAGATATGGTGTGTCAAGTTGATGGATGAATCCCATGCCCCGGAAATAAGTAGGAGGACAACTAAAAGTGATAAAGACATATCTGAAAGCCAAGTACCGACTGTCGGATCTCTTGAGAGCTCAGCGAAGTGATAGGATGACGAGAAATCTAAAGAGATGGATCGAGAATGGAGCACCTGACATCTAGAGGAGGACAGCTATAAGATCTTTAAACAGGTTTACTTGAAGAGAAAGGATTTGTTATATTTGAATAAGGACGAGATCGTGGCCTGCGAACGCAAGGAAGGTGAAAAGTCCTTTACAAATACAATTTGATAATGCTACCACATTTGTATCAAACTGAATTGCTCTTTCGTTCACATGTTCAGATGGGCCATCAAGGCGTGGACAAAGTGTATAACCGGATACAGAAGCGATTTGAATGGTCTGGCTTCAATAAGGCCTGTGAGAAGTGAATCTCTGCATGCTTATCATGTCAGCAGGCGAAGAACCCCAGGAAGCTGAGGTTTCCTCTTCAGTCAATAGATTCACCAGGATTCGACGAGGTGGTGCAAATTGATCGTCAGAAAATTTGCATGACGGCCACGGGCTATAATCAAGTGCTGGTAATGATTGATATTTTCACAAAATACGCGGAAGCAGCTCCCTACATGGCAGCATCAGCGGAGGAAACGTGAAACCACTTGATAAATGTATGGAGAGCGAGACACGGCTGCCCAATCTTATTTCAATCAGACAATGGCAAAGCATTAGTGGGTGATCTCACAAAGGAGTTAATGAAGAGGTCGCAGGTGGCACAGGCCCACTCGACCACTTATCATCCGCAAACGAATGGCCTAGTCGGTAGACAGAATTGCACATTAGTGTCCATGTTGAAGGTTTATTGCTCACGACACATGGACGACTGATAGGCACTTGCCGCAAGTAATGGGCGCTTATAACAGCATCACTAACATTCTTCTACCCTGAGTATGAATGAAAGAAAACAGCACCGCAAACATTCGTGCGTGTTGTGGTCAGGAGGCAGCAGGAACTCAATGATCTATGCCGGAGGAACACACGACAGGCTCAAATGGGACACAAAAGGAGATTCGATAAGAGGACTGAGGATGCAAAAACCTACTCAGTCGGAAACTATGTCCAGGAGGTAGTTCCACTAAAGGGAACCAAAAATTTGCTGAAAAAAGGCGTGGTCCATCTCAAATAACTGAAGTGCATCAAGGAGGTCGTTTTTATTGGTTGAGCACCGGACGGCAGCTCATTACGAAAACATCAAACCGCACAACGCCTCATCAGAGGACTGGTGCATCCCAGCGGACATGCAAGAGGGAGACTATTTGATAGTGGACCCTGCCTGCGAGGAGAATGAGAGAGGCACGAGCGACGAAAAACGACGGGAATGAGGTGGTAGATGATAGTGATCTGCCACTGGATCTGGAGTTATCCGAGCGAGTGGAGGTTGACTACGAGACCCTTCCATATGCCGAAGAAGACTGGGACTGCCCAGAGCAAACTGAAGTTGATGAGGGCGTACAGTCTGACATTCCCTTCACCATAGAACGTACCAGACTCACAAAACGTACGTGCGCCATAGCGATAACCGTGGATGTAAGTTTTAAAATAGCACTAACAGCTGACTGTGAGAGCGAGCACAAGAATATCGAGTTTTTATGGAAACAGAGGCCTGGTGTTGTAGGAATGATAGCGCTGCTCCCTATTGCATCACAGATACCAGGGAAATATCCTGGTTACTAAGGCCACTGATAGACAACACGTAAATCCTGAGAGCTTGGTGATGGCCATAACTCGACTTAGGGATGTCCTGGTTGAGAGAGGAGTGACCTCTCTCTTTACCAGTCTATGATCCCACTAGGGGAAAACTGCATCCGAGAGAGCTATATGCCCTCGTACATTTAATATTTTCAGAAACGGGTATGGATGTCTACTTACATATAAAACAATAGTTGAGCATATGCTAGAGCCACGTTCAGTGCTAAGTAGTCTTTTTTAGGTTTACTTTTTAGGCATTAGGATTAAGTTAAGGTTAGTTATTAGGTATTAGATTCTTATTTGATAGTGTTGATGTGTGATATTCGTATCTTATGTTATCGTTGGGTTATGTTTTTTGTGATGTTTTTGTGATCCCTTCAGGCACGAAAGGTGACAGCGCTCAATTTTGTTACTTCGACAAGATCGCAGGTGGACGATCCACCGGTGGTGCTAGCTTTTAAATTAAGAACAAAAGAGAGTTTCAATTGACAGTTTTTAAAAGATGTGAACGATGTTTTGTCTTGGAGATGAAACAGCTCGTAATGATCAATCTAAGTCGTTACTTGTCTCTTAGATCGTGATTGATTGTGCACTTGTTTATTGAATTTGAACTGAAATCGAAGAATGAAAAAACGCGAGATCTATACGGAGAAGAATGAGTGATACAATTGACTTGATGGATTCTCAGCGAGCCTAGGAACGACTCTAGACGAGGTGTATCAGCGGTTGATTGATTGCAACTTTGGATTGGAAGACCCGGAGCTGGCGATGCTCACCGTCGCACTCCTTAATTCGTTGCGAACAAAAGGTCGTGGGGATCACCCCACGGAATTAGTACTTGTTCTAGCTTTCAGCGAGTCCGGAACTGCCGAGACAAGCCGTAACAGACTCATGAGATGGCGAAGAGGGGAAATGTCTGGTGAGGACTGGGCGAGCAAAGGGACCACCGTTTAGGGGAGACGCCCCTACCTGTTCGGCCTACGCAGCCTCTCATTGGATCCAAGCGATCGCGTGACGGGATGGGCCCATCACATTCAACAGACTCCCCAACAGCTGCTCCTCCGCTGAAAAAAGTGAAAATGAACGAAATCGAGATACAAACGGCGGAGACCTGTGAAACTCTCAAGAAGAAGGAAAAAGACTGAGAGCAGTTGTGCGCGAAGTTGAACGAGTTTCAAGAAAAGGCGAGAGACCGTGATAATTGGAAGAAAAAATACGACGAGCTGCAGATCCTCTTCAAGGAAGAGGAGAGAAAACACTTGAAGGAGCTCTATAATGCGAGAGTCAGCAAGTTGTAGCCGGACGCCCTGGCAATGATGAGCCCCGAGACGACAGCCAATGCCAAGACTCAGGAGTTTTACAGGCCGAGTGAGGTGAAGGCCCCGCAATGAGTGAGTTCGCCTTCAAACGCGAGGACTACGATACCTGAACCCTCAGACAGTTACTTGGCACCTCAGTTTCAGGAGAAGCTCGAGCAGGCGGCCAAAGCTGCGATACAAGAAATACACCGAGCGAGGGACAGAAGCTTGGGTAGGATCGTTGCTTCTCAGCGTGCAGGCCAGTCACCCATCAGGAGAGAAACGACAACAAATCCCACAGAGCCGACCGGTACCGAGTGGAGCCAAGGTGAGGTCGCGGGTAATCGACATTCGAAAGGACCTCATCACAAGATTGAGCCTTCGTGCAAGTCGCTGCAGAACACCCCAGAGCCTGCCCGAATGGTATGACCTGGAATTCGGCTGCGATCCAGAACGAGGATAGGGTGGACACGTTAACCGTGATGATAGGGACAAACGACGTTTCGAAGAACCCTGTCAGCCCCGAAGTAAAATGGGAATCATTGCTGATATGTCTCCTCAACGAGTTGAAAGAGAAGTATAGGCTGATTATTGTGATGTGTGTACCATCCCTCTTAATCCAGACGACGGGTCACCAGTGGCCGACATCATGAATGGGAACTTAACCCAGTGAAATGTGATGACCAGGAACCTGACTACAGAAAATCCCAATGAACTCCGGTTGATGGATGTCGAAAGTGCACTGAGAATGGTGAACCACAGTGCCTTGATGAGAGATGGTACACGCTTCAATACCCAACCTAGAATACAATGAATAAACGACGCGTTTCAAACGAGGATAGAAGAGATGGACCCAGTGGCACGAGGTAGCTCTCCGAGGCCGATCCTTGGAGAATCGAGTTGGAACGAGGGGTGGACCACGGCAAGTGGCTCTCCAAGCAACTGCGAACACCACAGCCCAACATACAAGGACGTCGCCGGCTCGAAGGACCTCGCAAACAGATCCTGCAGCGTTGATTGATACGAGAAGGGTCAGTGATTTGCTATGGAACAGAGAAGATCCCAGCACTTGGGTCGATACAAAGCAGATATGGCAATCAAGCTGGACATGGAGTTGCTGACATGTCATGGAGACGCGAAGAGGAGCAATTTAGTTCCACCACTACCCTGCGACTGGCGGATCTGGAGGGTTTGCCCAGAGAGGGATAATACCATGGAACCACTCAATACGATGTTATTGACCGCCGTCTGTCATCAAGTCAGAGAAAGAGCTCGACCAAACCGTAAAGGGAAATTTCTAGTGGAGAACAGACCCAACAGCAGGCACCACAAGATAACAGGGTAAACAGTTCGCTAAACTCCCGGGGCAAAAC